CACACTCCCCTCCCCTCCCCCTGTCCTCCGCCGCGCCGTTTCTTTCACCTCGCCTCCGTTCTCTCGTTTCCTCCTCGACCATCCGCTAATCGCACCTTCTCCGTCCGACTCGGAGCCGCCGTATCTACGGGTCGTTGATATCGCTTCGCCTCGTGTTTTCTCGGATAACGTGTACAGCCGCCGTCTGCCGCGATCGCGGTGCACCGCGCCGCGGCGGCTACGTGCTCGTCGATAATAATTATTGACAGATGGGACTGACTAATGCAACCCGCCACCACGTTTCTCTACCGTGTATAAACTTTTAGTTGTACGCTCTCTCTCTCTCTCTCTCTCTCTCTCTCTCTCTCTTCTTCTTACCGAGCGGCGAGGCCTTTCTCCAGAGAGAGAGAGAGAGAGGAGAGGAGAGGAGAGGATTGACACGCGTGACGTGGTATTCCATCGATCCTCCTATCAAGGTTTTGAAATTCGTCCCACCAGACACTCACATTTCGTGACTTTCACATTCGAATTTTGTACAGATCGATTTGTATATCGTGCCAACTTGTAAATTTATCGAGAAAATGTAAGACGTCGAGATATAGGTATAGGAATGTTTATATTTAAGTGACGCGAATTCGATTCGAACGAATAGTTTCCGGATATGGGATCGAAGGAGAGATCGAAGTGCGATGCGTGTCGTGTTGCTAAAAATATGCCGCTTTGTTGGCTAAATGCGAATCGTGTGATTATAAATATGCAAAACGAACGGAAAGATATCGATCGTTGATACACATTTAATAGTTGATACACAATAATAATCGAGGATCGCTTTGCCAAAATTTTTTTGCCAAATAGTAATTTTTGTTCCAACTTTTCCATCTCCACTTTAAATACGATTTTAAAGAATTCAATTATTTCGATAAATATTAAATTATAGAAACGTTTGTAATTCGACAACAAGTATTTTTCAACGTGCAATTTAAACATGCATTTTCTTTTATTAGCAACGCAAAAATGCGTTTGCAGAAGAAACGTTTAACGATAACTCGTTGAAGAAACATCGAACATGGGAAGTTGTTCCTTATTGCATCCGCAAAGCTTAACTTTATACCTACCTAATTTCCTTTACAACTCGAAACGACCATACCTTGGCATAGTAATTCGCGTTAATTAGAATCTTCTTCTTAATTCCGACGCGCAAAGCATAGCGGCAAACCGTTTAACGTTACTTATGAATCATCTTGTATATATACCAACAACACGGACCAACTCTCGGAAAAGATAGTTTGTTTTCGCGAATAAATTGGAAAGACCGTGGCGAGGCCATTTTCTCAAAATTTACTTCGATGAATGTCGAAACGAAATAAAACGTACACAGTTTTCGACAAGAAAGACACGATTTCGCGCGCGCGCACACGCAACCGGTGTCCCCGGTTCGCATTTTTCCAACCGCGTGCACGCTGAGATATATACGTAGATATATTGTGAGACGTAAAGTATACCTGGATAATTACATAATTTCCTGTAAGAAGTTTTTTCCAACGTGCCGCGGTTCTGGATCGCGGTGTCCGTAGCCGTGATACCAGCTTCTCGAGAAGTAAATAAAAGATTATCCGAGAAAGGACTTTAACACCTTCCTCGCATTGGCTCACGATATGATGCAATAAACACGACACACCAACCGTAACGTCTCGAGACGTTCTACTCTCGCGGATCGAATTCCTACGACAAATCCACCATTTTCCCCGCCAAATTTCATTCCGAGATGATCGAAATGAAATTTCCATCTTTGGAAAAACGCGTGGGAAGAAAATGTTAACGCGAGAATTATCGAGTCTTCTTTACCTTTTATTTAACCTCCGCCAACATTCGCTCGCCGCAGTTCACCGCGCGAAGAAGCACCGCTTTCGTGTAAACGAGTTTACGAACAGATTGCTCCATCGCTGTTTACGTTAAACGAGTACGAATGAATATACTTTTACTCTCGTTCTATCCTCTTATTCCTCTTGTATTTTCGAATTAATTTGATCAACTTCGCTTTTTATTTCTCTTTAACTTCTTCCACTTCTATTATCCTATATCTATTACGTCTATCTTCTCTTCTCGAAAAATAATAACTCGAATAACTTATTCAACTTGTGAAATATGAATTTCTAGCAATTCGTTTAACTCCTCCAATTTCCATGAAACCCGTAATCGCAACGGGTTTATATCCAACCCTGATCCATTTAATTATGAGGGTAAAATAACGATTAAATATAACCGTGCATAATAAAACGAACTATAACACTTAATTTGAACTTGGCTGCAACTTGCTCTTTTAAAATTCAATTACGCTTCTCTGGCATCGTGACACGTTACATATTAATAATCCACGACACGGTCGATGAAACGCGAATGTCGAGCCCACCGTTCAATACCCGCGAATAAGAATGAACAAAACTGTTGCGAGAGATAAGATCGCCTCTGTTTTAATTTGTTTCTCTATTGCAATAAATAATAAAATCCCGCTATCTATCTCCGATTCAACGATTCGCGAAAATACGATGTGATTTTCGATCCGTGTCTGTGCGCAGGCGAGTTTCGCCCAGTTTCGTGATTTCGCGCTCAACGAATGATACGTCGTTGGATTCCAATGAGAGACACTTGTTGCAACTCGTGGATATCTTTGCAAATGATCTATCATCAAGTCGAGATAAACGATTCGTCTCACCCTGTATACTCTTTTCATTAATTTGAATTAATTAGAAGAGAAAATTAATTTTGTCTGAATTATTCGTATACAATGTTATGGAGAAAATTGAATAAATTATTATTATTATCATTAACTATCCGTAAACTCGTATAATTAATTAGAGAATAATGGATTAAGAAAATATGCAATTTAATATAATATATGTAAAACGATGTAATGTAACGTAATAATAAATATTGTTGTGAAAATAAAATTTCGTTTGTTTTTGCTAATGATGTAACGCGATATCAAAAAACATAGCCATATATCTTCTGTTAACTTGATAACGTAAGAAAATTATGTTGCTTTAAATTCATGAAATAATCATTATAAAAATATATTATATGAGTGAAATGAGATTAAATATTTAGGATGAAGGAATATTTATGGAAATAAATACGATATTAAAAATATAAAATACAAATACATTAAATATTATAATTACAGAATTATCTCCATGAAATGAAATAAAAAGTGACCTCTTTCTCAAAATCTCTAACGAATCTTTCAGAATCAAACGCATAACTTAAAAGATATTTCATTTGAATAAGTGCATATACATATATATTTTCATTAAAAAAAAAAAAAAAAAAAAGATTACAATGAAAATCATCATTCTCAATATTGTGTATTAACAAAACCGTTAGACAAACGTTAGATTAAACAAACGATGAGACAATTTTGATTTCAAAGAAAAAAAATTCTTTATTTTGCGAATAGATTTATTGGAATATTACCAAGCATATAAATTTTAAATAAGAAAAACAAATCGAAGATGATTCTTCCTTCCTCTTGTATGCTAATTTCTACTAATAATTCTCGTCTCAATATCAACCGATCGTACCAATGTTCGCAACCATTTACATCTTCAATTACGATATATTAATTTTTCACCGTTTGCCGACTAATAATAAATAATTGGATTAATTTTATGTATGCAAGTGATTTCGGTCAAGATAACGATTATCGTTTGAAACAACTTATCTCTAAAATCAGTTCGAATCATAATAACAATGAATAAACGTTTCGTCGTATAACCGTTCGGAATCTAATATATCTTCGTAATCATTTAAAAATTTTTTTTGACGAAAAATTAGTTAATGATAAAAAATATTTGACATCTTGCTAAATACTTATTATTCAATATTAACCGATATCCAATTTCGTTTCCGTAATAATACTTCAAAAATATAAAAGTTCGATCGATAAATATCTTCGATCATATTTGCTTAATTAAAATTCGTATATCATAGATCACAGATTTTCTTTAGAAACGCTTCATAAAAATTTTATCAATACTAAATAAAATTTTACGATAAATTGAATTCATATAAATAGAGTTTTACAATTTTTTCTATTTCAAGTTTTGTTCAAAAAAAAATGCATGTTTAAAATGCATACATTTTTCTTTGAGATACGAATAACATTTTCTACTAGCTATTTATTATTAATGATTGCTTAGATACCAGTAGATCGGTTTTATTCAGAATAAAATGAACCGATAATAATATTTACCATTTATGTATAAAAGCTTATGTGAATGTCTATACGGTACGAATAGAACTACGCAAGCCTAATAGCACAATGGTGCTAGTGAATCTATATTCCGTACATTTGCGTGACAAACGTGCACGTTTGTCGATGCTGTCGGTATCGGACGAATAATAAAGAATCTGCATGGTAGTAGTTCCAGTTCGCGTGATGGAGGGGCATATATTCCACAGGGATTTCGAATATATTCAAATTTCCCGCCATTCAGTCAGAAAAAATACGGTTCCTTTGAGATTTTTTGCTCTAACTAATCACGATTTGTATTTACGAACACGATAATACATCTTGCTAACCTAATCTAAACCTAATCTAATATGTTTAAACAAAAAAATTTAGGAAGATTCGGGTTAAAATACTATTTCTTTCTGGAATGATATTTTAACCGTTAAAATTCAAATTTTCCATCATATATACGTCAATAACGTACAAATGCTACGTTACGATCGCGATCCGAGAAAATGATTCGATGAAAATGTGTAATATCTTTTTCTTTAGAAAAAATTCCATCACAAATATCATTCGATATATTAAATATGATCGATATTAAATATGATTACACGAAATATACGATACGAGCCATGTTTAATGGAACCATGTTTCACTCGTCGATATACGTAACGACGCGTTTTGGCGCGTAATGAACGAAAAAGATGCCACAATGCCAAAATAACACGTTTAAGAAGTCTTGCGTCGATATAACGATGTTCGAGAAAAAGTATACATGGTATTTACTCACCTTTCTTACAAAAATGTCAACTATCAATGTATGTACTTCGAATGGGACGATGTTTTTTGCCTTCTCTTCGATGTTCAATGTCGCGTGGGCAGTCCACCTCTAAGTAAACAAAAACACAGACTTCAAATTGTCGATTCCCTTGCACGAGAGTTTTCTTCCATATGATCACTCGCGTGGTCTTTTTTTTCGGTCAGTAAAAAATAGTCGTCGAGAAGAGTGGCAGCAAATGCGACAAGAGAGGTGGCATAGTTGAAACAAAGATGTAACGTGAGAGTCAGAGAAACGGAGAAAGAGAAAGAAGATGGGAAAGAGAGAAGAAGACAGAGAAGAAAGAAAGAAAAAAAAGGATAAAAAATAAGACGCGAGAAAAGTAGCTAGTGATAACGAGTTTTCTGCACTTGAAATCACGTATATGTGAGATACGAGATTCTTTCACACGTCGATCACCAAACACGAGAAATATTTTCGCCGAAACAAAAGCGTTTCATTGGTTTACCGATGATTCGTTACACGCCATCAATGTCATGATCGTCAACGAATCCATATGATGACCCACGACTTTTCAAACGTTTTTGCTCGTTCTAATCACGACTCTCACTAGTACAACTTTTTCATCAAGATCAAAAAAGATTTTTCGTTTCGTTTGATTTGGAAGATACGTAGTTGCATGCGTGGCGCGCGCGCGTGTCGGAGTCTCGCGACGATCGTCCTCTTCCTCCAATGTGTGTTCCTGCTCAGGATCCGATCGAGCAGGCACTGACCCCACGAGACGACGTCGAAGCGAAGAAGAGAGAGAAGGAATAAGACAGACAGATATAGAGAGAGAGAGAGAGAGAGAGAGAGAGAGAGAGAGAGAGAGAGAGAAAGAAAACGATCGGAGGAAGCGTACGAAAGACGAACGAAGAAATGGAGAAGGGAAAAAGAATAGAGTGAAGAGAGAAATGAAATCAAAGAAAGAGGTAGAAGAAAATAGGTAAGGAATGAGGAGAAAACGAAAGAATGAGAAAGAAAAAGAATTAAGAACGGATCGCGGGCGCGTATAATACCGGACTCACAGTTGGCAGTCTTTCCTCTCGTATCTTCTGCCGCGTTGTTTCTCTTCCGAATTAACACACGAAAACCGTTCAATTTATCAAGAGATCATGAACTCATTTCGAAATAATTCCGTACGCACTGATTTTATGTTATTATGTATTAATCGTAACACTGATACAAAGTCACCGTTGAAATTTCAGCGTTTCGTCCAACGAGACACGAATTCGCGCGCACGAACAAGACGTGTAAGCACGTCGCGCGCTTGTTTAGAATATACTGAATATATTTTGACCCGAGCGCTCCGTTCAGGCTCAGCGCTGGCGCTTTGCGCGTTCGGCCATTTTCGGTTGCGATCGGCTGTGTTCGTACTCCGTAGTCGAACCAACCACGACGTCCGACCGCGAACGAAACTCGCGCCCTCGCTCGATTGCAAATTACCTTGCAGGGCCGATGCACCGCAATTCATATTTACTGAATTGATAACACTTTCTTTTTCTTCGTTTAAATTAAAAATTAATGTTAATATATGTACCATTATCAATTTAAAATCTAAATCTCAAATTATTTAATGATTTTCTTGTTCGTCATTGTAATTTAAAAATAAAGAGATTTTAAATGATACAATATGTATGTTATATGTACGTATATTATTGTAAATTATTTCAATATTATTATTTACAGATAATTTTATTTTTATTTCCATATATATATATGGAATATATAGAATTCAGCTATATTTCTTTTATAAACGAAAAACATTTAATTATGTTATTCGATCGATGTGAATGATAAAAAACTTTATTAATTTTGTTAGAAATATATTAGAAATATAATTTGAAGAAATTTCATTATATCGATAAGATTAAGAAACTCTTACATATCGTTTAATACACATCATAACAAATGATATTGAAATCCATTGAACGGAATAAAAGCGCAAAATCGAATCGAATTAAAAAATGAAAGAAATAATCGTATTCTTTTGAATATACATTGGAGTTCAATAAACGAATTGAACTCTTTTAGTTATACGCTTCTTATTCAACATATCGTATGATTAAAATAAACTAGATTTAACGAGAATTGTAATAACATTACAGGTTTATTTCATTTCGTGAAAAAAATATATAAATATTGTAAATGTTAATGCGTAATACAAATAACCGAATACATTTCATGTGTGTTTAATTGAACGATTATTTGATACGTAGCCAATTTCAAGATTTCATCAATGTTTCGATGGACCGTTAAAAACGCGATATATGTATTTGTCATTAAACGGTTACGTTTCTTCGTACTACAAAAATCCTATCAAGAATCTTAATCGCATCGCATACAAACATAGCACGAGATCCCCACTCTAACTTCGATATCATCGGGCAAAGACAACAGCAGTATCGGAGAGCATTGTGGAACATACACTTTCGCATGTATACATTATGCAAATTGATTCCATCGATTGGCTGGTAGATTGTATGCAGCCTTGTCGGGCGTTTCAGTAACTTTGCTCTAGCTTCTGCTCTCGAGAATACGGCTATTCCGGGATCACCATTTACCAGACAATTTCCAGAGAATAGCATCGTTCTAGCGAAGCAATAGCGAAGCGGCATTGGAAAGGTTACTAAAACGAATCGGACAGAAGTATAGGTTGCTCAGAGTAAACACGCTTTACGATTCACTTTCCTATAATTCTCGTATCAACGATGCAATATTCCCGATATATTCTTTACGATATCTTATATTTTCTTCTTGATTAATTGAAAATCAATCTTATTTCGTTCGTAATTGCTTAAAATAATTTTTCCTTATATAATCGTTACTTAACTCTTTTTTTCTTCATCTCTTTACCTATCAAAATGTCGAATAATATGAGTTATAAATATAATACCAAGAAATAATTGTGACGATTAAAATATATATATCTCTTTTGGTCAGATATTTTGCGATCAGTTGTACATTCGTTACGAACTTCTTATTAGTCTTGTTAATCTATAAAGTATGACATAACTTAACAGTTATCATTTCAACAACATGTAACATTTACATGTCAAGGAATTCAGCAACATGTGACATGTGGAAAAATTCAATAGCGCATATTTAAGAAGACGCGAACATATTCATATATTTCGATATTAAGCAATCAGACTTATGTTTGCGTTACATTTTCAATTATTGTAAATATGTTTTGCTTGTCGGCTGGAGACATTAGCTATCGCCAATGCCTATAAAATAAAATACGAAGATAATCTTTTGATCGAGGTATCTGACACGATTAGTTTGCAACCGTTCAGATAATGCTTATTTCCAAATCAGACTGATTTTGCTATCTTCCTATTACTTATACATATGCATCGGAAATAAGTTTGCGCGATAAATCGAGTGGTATTTTCTTCGAGTTTACAAGCGATTGTCGTAATTATCTTAAAAAGCTCCTTCGTGGAAGTAATCGACCAATTATCATATACCACCTATGGTGAAGTCACTCTTCTCAATAGCACGCATACGATTGAAGTAAATTGGCAACGAATAGACTAGAAACACGAATGAAACCAAGGAATCCTACTAAATATAGTAATTCTTATTTCGATGATGATTAAAAGGAAACAGCCGAGGGCAAATAATTCGATTGCCTTGTTTTCGCGAATAAGAACACACAGAAGCAATGGAAAATTACAATGTCCATGTACATTCGTCAAACACACAATTGATCAATAAATAGTCACAAAAGTAGACATTTTATATGTTACTTTTATTAATCATAAATTAGGAGTAATTTTTAATTCATGCAATAATCATAGACGTCAAATTTTCAATGATGCATTAATATAGTAATTATTATAATAAAATAGTTAAAATTTTGCAGGATTAATAATATTTATGTTTCGTTTGGATTCTGTCTTTCTATTTTATCAAGAGAGGATTAGTATACTTTGGAGATGGCGTCTTGTTCTATGTTGTGTAAAAAGAAACGTCGATGGCACAGTTCTCTGTCTTGCCTCCTTCTTTAACTTTCAATTAAATTTTCCATCGACTTAACGTTTATACGGCACAAATTCTCCGATACCATGATATAAAACGATATCTTCGATCAAACTGTATTAACGAACAATGAGCAATAAGAGAAACTGTAGATGTGTCCCAACTATAGATCTAAGACATCGATAACGCCTAGATAAACTTTATGCCGTGACTACAGAATGAAACAATGCAACAGGTGCATAAATTCGTGTTTTTTTAGTTTTTTTGATTTTTTCTTTAAGAATTTAATTAGAATATTATAAGAAAATATTTATTTTTCGGCAAATATTACACGATTATTTTTATTTCTTATAAAAAAATAAAATTGAACTGTGAACCTCTGAAAAAGAATGAAATAAAAATATTCATTTTTGCACAATTTTATGTATTAAATATGATATTGATTCCTATCAAGCATTTTATTTTTCAATAAAAAGAAACAAGATTGAAAGCGACTTAACAGTTGTTCAACGAAATAATGTAATGATAATGAAGATCCATTCTTGCATGCAGTCAATTATATGTAATTATCCGATGATAATGCCATAGTTGCCATTAGAAAGATTAGCCGTTTTTTCCAAGATTCGTTTAATCCTTTGTCCAATGCTAGAATGAAATTTCTATATATTAGTTAGATTCAAAATCAATCTATTTTGTCGAATTTTAGAAAAATATTACATTTATTTTGATATTCTATTAGAGATCATTTGAATATTCTCTGTAGATAAACTTCAATATGTACTACACACATATATGTATATGCATTATAGATAAAAATCGGACACACAGTTAAATAAAATTTTATTGAAAGTTATACGAAATGATCACAGAGGAACGATAACTTTGAATTATATTTTAATATTGTAAAGATCGTTTTGTTTGTATATCATCCAATATTGTTCTAAGTTCCTCATCTTCTAATCGTCCTTCTAAACTGGGAATCAAGGCTTTCGCTTCTTCTGGAGTTTCCGGACAAAGATTCGCGAGCGAAGCTAACTCAAACTTATGAAGTTTCTTCTGCATAAGCAAGCTAGAACATACAAATTTCTATAAATTTGTACAATATGAATATTTTTCATTTCAAAAAATGAAATTTTACGAGTTTGAATCTTTTATTAATTATAAAGACGTAATCGCGCTTACTTTCTCACAGCAGCAATTGTTTCTTTATTTTTAAATCGGCGAAATCTATTCGTATACGTTAAACTCTTCATGAAAACTTCGGAAAATTCCTGTTCCTCTTCTGCTGATTCATTTTGTGCTTTTCTATGCTCCAATAACATATACACTTCCGAAATTAAAAGAGTCTCTGCGTTTTCAAATTCTAAGAAAAAAAAAATTATAAATAACACATTTATTAAATTGTCATATCGTTTATATAATCGACAATATCCTATTATTTACTTTCATTTATTTCTAGGTATATTTTAAATTAAATACTACTTGCTCTAAATTTTATTCACAAATTTTATTATATATAAGTATTTATATATTTTATAAAATACATTTTATTATATTATTTATATAATATACAAATTGCAAGCAAAATATCATATATTTACATGTATGTATATTGTATATTATTAATCTGTGCGTCATTTTAATGATACATTATTATTTTCAGTCGATTTTTTAAATTCTTAATATGTAATATCACAATCCAATATATACTTACGAAGTAATAATGCACAAAACTTACGTATTTTAGTTATATTAACAAAATGTATGTCATTGATTCGGTTTATTTATATATCCTTTCTCCGTAAGAAAATCGTATATTTTTCGCGTTTTATTTACGTCAATCTTAAGTAAAACTCTAGCTTGTGCCAATCTAAGGCAACCAGATTTTTTATTTTCCGCTATTAAAATTTGTTTAAAATCAAGATAATTGGTAGGAACTATACGCGTAACTGAGCAAAGTTCTTTTTCAGCCGGGGTTAATTTTTCGTATCCTGGAAGACCTTTAATTGCAAGTGGTGGTGCCGCTTTTCGTTGTGAAATTGTATTTGACATAGAATTATTAAAACTAATATTACATCCGGGTAATATAGTCTTCCAACTATATTCGGGATTATTTAAATATTGTTTTCTTTCCTTTTCATTTTCCTGTCTAAGTTTACTTAATTTTTGGAACATTGGAACACTATGAAAATACTTTAAACCATTAGTGCGAAATTCAAATAATTTATTAATATAATTTTTAAGCTCTCCTGCTCTGTGTAAACCTTCCATGAAGTAATCAAATTCTATACCTCCTAATAATTGCATGTAAATTAATAATCTTTCTACAATAGGTCTAGTTATTGTACATTCGTATCTTTGTATCCAAGATATAGTTCTTCTAAATGCTATCAATCCATGATTACGTATAATCTTTCTTCTTCTCATACGTTCTTTTAGTCTATTATTATATGCTTGTACTATAGCTATTTGCAATGTTTTTCCTAATTCATAATTTTCATCATTTATAGCAAATTCATTATAGTTTAAATCAGAAATTAATAATTCTGCGTGATTATCAAAATTCACTTCAAAATCTGATCTTGCTGGATTATATCCAGCCAAAAGTTTACAATTAAGGGTATTAGGTGCAAATCGAGGAGGTTCTTCTAAATCTTGCAATTTATATAAATAAGGAATGGATTCACATTCAAACAAACTAGCTCTTGTTTCTTCAATTTTTGGCAATCCTGGTAATGCTTGATTATCTATATAATATTGAAGATAATGATTTTTACATTCTTCTGGTGATTTGTCTTGCATTCGTTTCGCCATGTCAATCCAATTGCCAAAACCGCACTCCAGTAAAACATCTAGTAATTCTAATTCTTGTTTCGCTGTCCAACCACTTTCCTCGATTAAAGGAAATTCGTTTTTTATGATGATATAGTCATGATCATTTCTATGATTGCCAATTTCTGATCCATTAGAGAAACAAGAGGGACACAGTTCCATACTACTACACACAGCACAACGAATATACGGTTCTGTCAATGCAGATTTACATACACGGCATATTGGGTCTGAAGTAATGATTTCATCCTTCACGACTGACACGTCGAGTTCTACGTTACGCTCGATCTTTTCTGTTCTACTCGATGAGCAGTCTGAAAGAGGATAATCGTTACCTTAGGCCATGCCGCATAATCAATTATTTTCATATGTTATGTTATTAAATGTAAATCTTTATCGAAAAAATAATAACAAACTTCATCATTTTATTGTAGGTTAGAAATAGATAAATTTCATTCTTTTTTTTTTTTTCTTATTTCCTCGAAAGAAAGACATACCTTTTGGAAATTGTAAATCTGCCGCGTCTTCCTCTGTCATATCAGTTAAATTCGGATTAGCCATATTTTTTTTATATTAATTCTTTATATTTATATAGAAATAAATCACCACTTCTTTCAAACTGTTTACTACTAACAAACAAGCATGCTTTCAGTTACAATTAGCAAGAATTGTATATACTTTCTTTACCAGATGGCAGTTGCGTAGCTATACACTTCTAGTAAAAAAATTATTTAATATTTTGTCATAGTTCGAAATCTCTTTAAACTAGAAGTTGATAATTACTACCAATCGATGTCGATTAAATAATAAATAATAACAATAATAAATCTTATTTTATGAAATTTTGTATCCCACATTCTGAAATATCGATTGTGCTAAATATCAGAGTGTTTGGTATGCCCTCTATGATTGAAACAGTGAGTTTAGAAATTATATTCAATTCAAGAATGAAAATTCCCTCTAGATATGCACTTCATATCTATTTTATATATTCTAAGATTTTCTTACCATTTTAGCATCATTCCCAATATTACCGATTTGCCAAAGAATAAGATTACAGTAGTGTGGTTAAAAGTAAATTATAATTACTAAAACAGTTATTCAGAAAAAAATTATTATAACTTTTTTCGATCCTATAGTATATTAATGTATAAATAAAATTTCATGTTTAATATTTAAAATTAATATTTAAAAATTATTAAATACGATTCATAAAAACGTTAAGACATATGGCATTATTACCAACAATATAAAAAAATATGAAGATTCGTTTTTCAAATTAAACATATTATTAAAATATATTTATCTTAAAATTAGTAAAATTACTAATATGACGTGAATACATAAAGGTATGTATAAAATTATGAAAATTTGAAAAGTAAAATTGCGATGCTTTTCTAAAATCGAAGATATAAATAATTATATTCTATTATACTTTAATATCTTCCAAATCAGATAGATTTACATCAGAAAAATAGACAAAGAAAGTTAAGTGTGCGAACAAGTTCGCCTACGTTGTCTTTTATAAAACAAATAGACACGTTTTAAAATGTGTTCGCACATTGAACTCTGTTGGAATGTGTAGTAGAATAAGAATACTAAGTCGCTTGAAAATAATAATAGAATCACTATGCAAATATTAACAATAGTCTTGTGAAAATCATATATGAAAATTTTATCGAGCTAACCAATTTTCATCTATTATATTTTTTTTTACTTGCGAAGTTATGGATAACGAAATAATGAATAATTCAACGAAATTTGAAGAAATAGAATTTTATAATGAATATATTTTATGTTTACAGATTCAGACAAAAGCATAAGAAGTGATCTATTTAGTAGAAAATTGTTTCTTCTAGAAAAATTAGATTTCAAATATTGAAGTTTGTCTTCAGCAAGCAGCATTTCATTGTAAGTTTAAGATACATTTAAAGTAATACTTAAAATAATACTATAGGATTTTATTTTAATCATAAGACAAGAATTGCTTATTTAATCAAAACGTTTTGAAACGATTGCGTAATTTCTACTTGATATTATGATCAGATAAAAAGCAGAGTGCATTTAATATTTTTCAATTTAAATTATGTAATATTCACGTAATAAAAGGAAGGATCATTATTTTCTAACTATAATCTTTACAAGCATAATTTTCTGATCGATTTACATGATTATTGATACAACCTTGGCCTTCATAAGTTTTGCAAAGGATTAAACTCGGGACAATAACTTATTTCTAGTTCTCGTAATAGTATGAAAAAATGCATATCGTGCGTTTACTGTGATTCGCTAGGCATGAAAACCGGTTTTATTAAAATTTTTACGTATCAACCAATCAGGTTAAGACAGAAAACTTATCTCTTAATAAACTATCTAATTTTCTTATCTAATTTTCTTTTTTAAGAAAAATATTCGATATTTTCGTTTTATCATCGAATAGTAAAAATTGTTTCTAATATTACATTTTTCTAATTAACGTTTTGCGAATTCTATATTCCATTATCTAAAAGCAAATGGACAGAAACGTAGAAATGAATAGTATTAGATAATTTCGTCGACATTATATCTTAATTAATATTAAGTCATAGACTTCTGCGTCACTCTTGATTTTTTTGCAAGTAATCTGAAGTTTGACGAATGTGAATTTGCACGTGAATGAATTTCACACCTTTCTACACAAAGCAAAAGAAACATCGATTAATACGCGGCTTCAGAAGAATAATTTAAGGCGATAGTTCAGATAAAAAAAACTTTTTTAAAACGCGAAAAGCAACGCGTTTCTATCACGATACGACGATCGAATCATCGAGAGTCCTCGAAGAATTGAATCATTGAATACGCTCGAATGCGTTTCTTTTCGCTTTTCATCGTGATGTGATATCCGTATTCGCGACTTGAAATAATGAACCTTGAACAACCAAACTTTTCAAATGCAAGAACGTTGCACTTCCGCACTCATGATGATGGCGATAACGTTATGGAAGAGAGTGTTCGATCAGATCGAGGGAATATCTTTGATAACGTTTATAAAATGACTACTGTAGAGAGGTATGTGTATTTTATTAAAGTATCAGTGAAAATGTAACGAAAATATGATACGGAAAATATTTCTTGTATATACCGTACATACTGATTCAAATATTAAAGAATATGATTATTTTTTTAGATTCTTTCATTCAACTTTATAAAATTATTTGGATTTATTAATATATTAATATGTTAAAATTATATATATATTGAAAATAAGATTTATAATATTTAATCCAATACTTTTAAAAAATAAGTTATTCATGCTATATTTAATATATGATCCAAAAAATACGTGAAAACAAAAGGCAAATGATATCGACGAGTTTATTCGTTAACTTCATTTCGAAGCAATTTTCAGATAGCAAAATGATGTAGATCAATAGAAGCTTTTGTTAATTTTCGCTTTAATAACATGTCTTGCGACTAATATCGTACATTTTTCTATTTTAAATCACGTGTATAAAAATGAATGATATTTTCATGGATAAATCAAAAAGCAGACAACAGTGATCAACAGTGAAAAATATGTTATTGTTTCCAGAACTTCCTGCGTTATTTTTACATCGTTCTGACATGAAACAGGAGCATTTGTTTCTTGTAAAATTGCCGGAACAATAAGGATTTCTACTTTTTCTCTATTTTTATAAAAAAAAATCATTATTAAGCAAAAATATTAAGATTATATATTTAAAATTATTGAAAAGTTAATCATGATTTAAAAAAGATAAATATCAGTCATGTTTTTTCATTTCTTCAATTTAATTTATATACGAGTATAAAAATACTTTAAAATAAATTTCCAGACGTTCACCAGAATGACATCTGTATACCAACGACTTAAGATTGTCCACGAATACGTTAGGTATCTTTTTTTATACGAGTTGAATCTCGGATTTATTCTCCTTCGCGTCTTTCCTCAATCGGTAAAAGAAAAAAGAAAAGATTTTGGAAAGGGTTATCGGACTTTTTACGATACGTTTATAAATTCGGTTTAGCTCATTAACATCGGCATTATGTATAACGGAACAACCGGCATTTATATATATACATAAAAGGAACTGCGTTCGAATAATGCAACTTGCATTTAATTTATTATACTATGTACATTTAGATTCGTTCCTGTTAATTGGTAAAAGAAAACATGCATAATAGATTTTGAATTAATTATTTTCAACGAATATGAAATATTCGTATTTGTATATTCATAACTTTGTAATATGCTAAAGAAAAAAGATATTTAAATTAATCAATGGTTATGAATCAATAACTTATTATAAATAATTATAAATAAAACATTGTCAACTTTTTTCTCGAATCAGAGCAAATTAAAGACCAAACATAGAAGTTATTAAAATTTTTATCGATGAAAATAGATATAAATATATATATATCTGTAACAATCGGAAATTTTAAAAAATATTTCTTCGAAATTGAACAAAATATTCACTTTCTTTCAAAATATATTTTTTGCATATCATTAAGAGTTCAATTCGCAATCTTTTCTTTCCTTTCGTTTCTCTTATTTTTCGACGATTCACGCTTCTTTAAAGCAGCCAACAAAAGAACACACTTCCACGAATAATATAAATTTTTCCATCATCGGAAATGATCTCATTTAAATGCAACGAAAATACAATAACACATTTTCCTATATTTTTATTCTATATCAAACATATCTTTTTCGATTTATCCAGTTGAGTTTCGCGCATATAATCCTCGTCCAAAACGCTTCGTAAACATCCTTTAATCACAATAGCGTCCGATAATGCGTGATTATTAAGGAGCCGACAGAATCACGAATGAATATTCATCGCATCGTCGAGCCGTATTGTGCGCCGGTTCACGGTTGATTCACGGTGGTGATATTCTCCTAGACAACAAAATTACGCGATTCTAGATGCAAATTGTTTACTTACGTAAGCTAACTGCGAACTGATACACCGTAGTTAATTCACCGTTTCATGAAACCGCGAAAGTGAAACAAATCCTTTGACTACTACGTTTAAATAGACTCGTCAGCTCGAAAATTAATTATTCTTTAATTGTCGAGTTTTCATTTATGTCCGTCTCGGGATGGGTTACGTTTAAAATAAAAGAAACTTGTTGCGTGAACGGAAATGATCATTACAACAATTCGTTCCTCTTATACGTTAATTTGCATTGTCTCGAATAAAACAATGTATCGATATTGGTTGTTAATGAATCGTCGACTTTCCCTGTCGTATATTATTTCTCAAATATATTTATTGTATATAATTATTGTATAATTAATTATTTCTGGAATATAAATATAAATATTCTTTCGTAAGATTTTGATTAAAAGGAAATTAGAATTAAAATTTATACAATTTTAATAGAATATCGAGGATTTATTTCGCTTATTAATTTTTCTTCATCGAGATACGTGGATTATTTCATTTGATCGTTGGTACGTCCGTTGGAAATATCTTAAACTTTCTTGGAAATGTTATTGAAATACGAATACTTAACCGTATCATTGTGAAAATCTACACTAGGTTACGCGTTTTAATAGATTTAATATTTTTAGAAGTCATCTTGCATTCGCTTCTTGATTTTAATGATTCTTGAT